AGGCCATTTCAACATAAAATGAAGCACAAAGCCCCAAACATCCTTGCAACAATAAACTGAAATGGATGCTACTAAAATTCAACAGTGCTCTCAATCAAATCAGCCTTCTAAATCTAAACCAAACTGAACACTTGCTATTTTACATGGCTGCAGATAGAGTGCAAAACATATGGCGGATAGTCTAAGGTCTCTTTTCTTCTTTGCTCCTAAGATTGTCTATGAATTATTCCATTTGAAACTCTGTAGTGCTGTCTTCCTTGCAAAAGAATCATGGATCAAACTAACTGTAATAAATGTATAGTACCTGCACTTACAAAACATACACAAAATGCTGAAAATCACAGATGCAACTAAGACCACCTCCACATATGCTCATTTATTCCTTCTCACCTCCTTCCTTCTAGAGCAGAGCAATGACTGTCTGCTCCACTGTGTGTCTCATCAGCCATATGTTCAAAAGACAACCATTTCCTACACCCTATCTTCAACACGTCAAACTTCCATCTATCCTCCCAGACACATTTGCCCAGTGTGACAATGACTTCGGAATGGCCCGATGTGGGAGGAGAGACCATCCATTAAAACAGCCCATGATGGTTCATACATCAACCACCCTGAAGAAGAGCTCACTTCCAGGACCCTCTGCGTTTTCCTGGCTGCCCAGCCTTCTATACGAATGGCTGACTGACAACATCAAGGAGAGTTAGTGCAGTCTCAGTGGGCCTGGTCGGGCCAATCCTGGTAGACAGAGACTCTGGAGCCTTTTAAACATTTGATGTCACAAGGCCAATAGATTCCCAGGTCTCTGGAACAAATGGTAGCTTCAGTTGTCAGAAAAAAGAGTTACAGATTTAGGCAAATTTGACTGCAGAGAAGGTGATTTACTGGTTTAGCTGTCTGCATAGTGACATGATTGTGATGGAAATATTAAGGTGCAAGAGTTCACATTCTGGCTTATGCACAAGTTATTCAACATTAATAACACTTCAACAAAGAAGATATCACTTCAATCGAATATGCTAATAAACCCATCGACCCGCATTATTTTTGTAAAATATAAATATTTCAAATTCTTCCTTGGTATTAATAATTTGCTTTCAGGATCAGCACAGTAAAGTATATCTTGTAGTGGATGAAACTAGTAGGGAAACAATGACCGTATTAAGGACATACCCCTGAGAAGATATTTCCTATGGACCTGTGGTGACTCATTCACAATATCTGTAGGACTTAATTAGGGTCAGGCGCAGACAATAAAGTGCCAACCTGACCTATAGAGACAGATATTTACAGCAGGGTCCACACAGCCCCTGGTGATGTCTACAGCCTCATTCACTTCACCTTCTTCCTTCATCTTTATTCTACACCACCTTCCTGATTCACTCTTTCATTCTCTTCTTCTGTCATTCTGCCGCTCCCTCTAACTTTAACCTTTCAAGCCACAATCTCACTTTCTCCCACACTCTCTATAAATATCTGTTTCTGGCTCTGTCTCCCACCCCCCTTCTCATTCACTTCTGAAGAAAGCAGGGGAATCTTCCATCCCCTGTGTATGTGAACACCCACTCAAGGTTAGGAGTACCGCAGCTGCAGAAGCTAACTGACCAGGGTTTCTACTGTCACGCAGAAGCCATCTGTACGATCCACAGCATTAATAGCCCATACTGTCAAACACAAACTTTGTTTACAAAAAAATAACCCTAAAGCTTAAATTAATTTTATGGTCTATAAGACTAATACAAAGTGATGTTTCAGTCTGTTCTCTCTCTCCCCAAAATAACACCGCAAAACACAATTAAAATTTTATATCCTATTTAGCTGAGTGAAAAATGCATTCTGTATTCTTATCCCTGGCAAAGCATAAAACAACAATGCAGTCATTTTATGCATCAACCTTTTATGATTTTCTCATTTCTCTCAGTGGTCCAAATGGCTGGAGCACTTTGCAAAACAGCCACACTTTCAGCTCTCCCTCCTGGCAGCCAACACAGATACACACACCATATCACAACACATAAAATCATGTTCCTGCCATTCCAGCATCCAAATGTAAAGAATTTGACCTTTTCTGCTTATAAGTCCCACATGATAAGAAAGTCTGGAAAATAGCTTAAATGTAATATGCAAATACAAGATAGCACATTGGATACAAAATTCAATATGCCCCTTTTTAATGCTTTTTTCTTAATGCTGTCTGATGTGGATATTAAAATGAGGTCAGCCAGGCCTGACGAAGAAGTTACATGATTTAATGGCACCCCAGGGGAAGTTTAAATATAGCCCTGCATTACAACTGGGCTCCAACAGCACAGCATGACATCAGTTCATCCACAAACACTTAAATTTCAGACAAGTTATTTATGCGCATTACAGTGAGCAAATACTACATGTCAGTAAAGACTTACTGCTGTTTTATACTTTATGTATTTGTTTATAATTAAATATTTCAGCACAGGGGAAACATGGGTGGGGTGTAAGAAGTGGGGATGGGCTGTGTAGACTGAGATGCCATCCCCTGCCACTAGGTGGAGGAACAACCCATAACTCAACCTCTGCCTGTGCAAACTGAGTAGAATAATAATAAAAAAAAAAGAAATACATTAAAAAAAACTGAGAAGCCACAATGAACAGTGCTATCCAGACTGACATACAGTAGCTAATGAGCCTGACAGATGTAGGTTACATCTGGTCCCACTGGTAGAAAGCGATCCTGTAGTGAAGGCAGGGAAGCACCAGCCGCTGTCACAGCTCCATCTGAGACTCCAAGCTGAGTTAAGAGAAGGCGAGAGCTGTGGGTACCTTTAATTTAGACTGCAGTATGCTATCCTTCATTAAGTCATTCTCTGTGTTACAGCTGGATGCGGGCCGACTAATCCGGATTCACAATATGTCCTTTTCTCTCTGCTTCACTCAAAGTGCAGTACCCATGAGCTCCAGCCTTCCTAGTTTATCCACATGCAAATGTCAGCCTGCATTCCTCCCTGCCTGACAAGGGTCCTGAGTTATTAGACAACACCAACCCTCATCAGTTAGTATGAAGTGAAGTCATCTGTGAAGTGATAGTGCATGACGCGTGTCATCCCACAGAGTATTTTCAGTCAAAACATCACATGGTGCATTCAAAGGGCTACTAGCAATTTACATGAAGACTTCAGAGCTTGAGAGATGTCAAGGAAGCAACATAATTTCTGATTGTGGTAGGCTGGGAAAGGCAGAAATGATGTATGTCAAATGTTGAATAAATAGAGTCTCATATTGTGATATCAAACAAGCTGTTAGACATCCCATGTTACAGTTCTTCAATCAAATGTGCACACTGTGAAAACACACATACCAGCAGAGCAGCCTAACAGAAAATACTTTAAGCATAACAGATTCTGACATCCACAACATTTCCTAATCTTGAGGCATAATGTTCAGACATGCACTTGCATTCCAAACCCCAGCCTCCCCTCAACATGATCACTTGGACTGTCTGGTTTGCATATTCTGCTTGTGGACACCCACCAAGAGATGAAGATCCCCACAAGAGCAACAGGTCTATGTCAATGTGTAAAGAAGAATCTCCATTACACTCATTCTCACAGTATTATGCAAACTCCAGTTGACTGTACATCTGGAAACTAAGTACACCACAAGACCACAGCGTAGGTGTTGACCTTTTACTAACAAACAATCTCTTTTTGCCCAGAAGGGAAAATTTCAACAATGCAGACACATGCCAACTGTCAACAGCCTTCAGACAGAAGGAAGTTTTCAAGGCTATTTTGAATTAACCTAATGGCAATAACAGTGTGTTTGATTTATGATACTTTAGCTAATCATCAACTAGAAAGACTAACTGCAGTGACTGCAAATTGTACCTGGAAGGTATGTGTGCTCTACAGAGACAACGCCACAGTAGCTAAAGGGAGTGGTGTTAAAAATGTCATTAGGCTGAGCTAAAATGTTACACACTACTGCTTAAAGAAGTAATCAGAAGCATAATCTATACAGTGAGAATGAGTTCAAGCCCCTGCGTTAGGAAGCATTCACTTTCCTGAGTAGTCCTTGAGCCAAATACTGACACCCTTTCAGTTCCAGATGTAGCTGAGCCTGACCTCTGACCTGTGTATGCAGAAAGACAAGTTCAGTGTCAAGAAAGCGACCATATAACATCATAATAGTGTATAGCTGAGTCTTCAAGAATTTTGTCAAATTAGATAAATATATCATTGAATTCATTTCTTTCCAAGTTCTATAATCTGAAAGTCAGAGCATAAGATAAAACAATGTGTAATGTAACTGTGAGGAGTATTATTATTATGATTATTGCATTGCTGATGGTGCAGTTTGATGTGTACTGCCAATTTGTCACCACTGAACTGACCATACTGAAAGATAAGATAAGGCCTCATTAAACGGCATGCGCAACCAAATCACAGGTGCAATAGGTTGTCTACACTCTTCAACCCTTCGACATTAGATGAACAAGTATCACTATGATGTTTTTAATCTAAATAAATGTGCAAATACAGTGTAAACCTATGCAATTACCTGCATATTATTAACAAAATTTACTTTAAGTATCAAAGGTAAAACTGGTGCTTCAAAGCACTGTCATTACTTAACCTGACTGTTGATACTGATACATTTCTAGGTATATTTGGCTGAGACGTAGCTATTTTAACTATATGATGCACTGTCTCGGAGTTGTAGAGCAATGCAAAGTGAATAAAAGTATCTAATGATGGTAGTGGAGCTAAAAGTAAAATATTTGCTTGCAAACTATGGTGGAGAAATAAAGCAAATTAGCATTAAATGGAAACACCCAAGAGTAAATAACTCTTAAGTACAACAGGCTGCATAAGTAAATGTACTTTCCACTCACTGGAAAGAAATATACTTTAACAAATTAAACCGGAAAAGACAAAATAAAATATTTAAAGACCGAAACATACTGTAGTTTAAAAACTACGTCCAGGTCCCTTCTTCTATTAGTATTAGTATTTTCAGCATACTATGACCTGGATGACAGAATTTGCACGGACATGCTGTGAGGGGCGTTTCACGGTGTTCTTAAGTTTCATTTTAGGAAAAGAAGAGGAAGTTGGCGTGTTTACACGATTGAAACAGTGAGATAACTGAAGTACGATTGTTGTAGAGGAACGAGATGTTTAGACAACAATCCGTGGGAGGCTGAACCGAAGCGACAGGAGCAGGAAGTCAGTTTGTTCAGATCAGTAAAGCTAACCGGTTCTAGCTGACAGTCAAACTGAGGGGAATCTCGCTGTTGTGCTTTCAGGAACATGGCCAGAACTGCTGCTAACGGAAGCTTAAAAACGCACTTGAACCAGAATGGACTGAAACTGGAGGATGTGAATAAAACTCACAAGAGAGAGGTATGGCTGCCTGTCATCTGCAGGATTCATTTAGACGAAGGCACTGTATGTTTGTGCGCGCTTGTTTTTAAGGGTCAACAAGTCAGATTTAACGTTTTTCCTGACTTTGTTTGTTTGTTTGTGAGGCTTCCTACCTGAAACTTCTGTGTGACGTCGTTAAACTTTGTAACCCATTAAAGACCTACTGAATATAAACGGCTACAAACTACATCAATGCTGTGTTTACTATCAGAGGTCATATGCACGTACACATAAACATGTTTTGTAAAATCTATCACGTTTGTGACGTCGTTCATTTTACTAAGTATTGCTCATAGTTACTGCATGAGTTCAGCAATCAGAATTATCAGGCTACAGTTCACAAAGAAAATAAACAAAAGCACCGGACAACTGCACTCTGCTCACGTAGCCAGCCTGGAGGTATAAAAACCTGCTTTGGAATAAGGAAGAATTTCAGGGCGGGTTCCTCGGTTCACTTATTGCTATTGATATTGTTCACTCTGGAGGAGCTGGTTCTCTAGACTCATCATGGTGCGTTACCTGTAGCTAGGTGGTTTGACTTTGAAAATTAGGTTGTAGTTTGAGCTAAGGTTGGCAAACCGCCATTCTCATTTACTAGATTTCATACAGTTTCAAAACCCACAGAATTACGTTAAACAACGCTTACTGCTACATTAAAATATTTGACATCTCTGCTGCAAATTGGCAATCATCCTACCACCACAACTGAAACTCTTTTCTAAAGGAATTGATGTTGATTTGATTTAATTTTGATTTATTTATTCTTTCAAGCATGTAAAAACAGTTTATATATCAGCACACATAATTATACACATATCCAACAAATGCTAATCCAATATCAATTTGCTTATACCTAGTACATGCTTGAATGGAGTAGGAAGAAGTCAGACTTATCTAGTCCTACCCCATGACATCATCTTACAAACACATAAAAGCAACTTGGTTGTTTACTCTTTCTTTCTCCAGACTCACTTTAGCATTTCCTCCACAGGCCCTGGGCCGTCCTGCTGCCACTGAGAATATGTAACTGTTCTGGTGGTTTCTAGTCAACAGGACAACCTTCACTTGGGCCCATGTCTGTGAGATTATTGGACTTTGATTTGATTTGATTTAGATTTGATTTATTCTTTCAAGCATGTAAAGACAGTTGATATGTCAACACACATAATTTTACACATATCCAACAAATGCTTGTTCCTGGCTTTATAAATAAACACAGAAGTCTTATATCCCACTAAATCAAAACATTGTAACAATTTAGACTGTATGAAAGCTCCATTGGTGAGATCCCTATATCCCATCTTATGCACAATTCTTATCGCTCTTTTTTGTAATATATACAATAGTTGAAGTGAGCTTTTGTATGTATTTCCCCAGTTTTCAACACCATACTCTAAGTACGGTAAAATCAATGAAGAATACAAAATGCGTAGTGCTTTCCCGTCCAAAATATATCTCACCCTTGCCAATATCGATATGTTTTTTGCTATTTTGTGCTGAATATATCTGATATGAGATTTCCAGGAGAATTTATCATCAACTATGACACCTAGAAATTTAATTTCTTTCTACTCGTTCTATATTAGCTCCCCCAATTTTCAGTTGAAGTTCATTGTCTAGTCTACGATTCCCAAATACCATAAATTTAGTTTTATCCAAATTCAGAGATAGTATATTACTATCACACCATTTCTTTATCTTCTCAAGTTCCTGTGAAACCCTGTTATGTTAGTTGTATTGTTATATTATTATTCATATTTCAGGTTCATATTTATAAAGAATATATACATGCATTTACATATTCATATAATTTATATATGGATAGAAACTTTTCATATTTTTCCAGCATGTTCAGGTAATTTTTTTGCTTCCTAGCTGCCATCTTTGGTTACTTGAAAAATAGTTACAAATATTCACCCATTATGCAGTGGTAACAATATTTTCTTAAATCACTTTGTAAACTGTGAAATATTTTCATATCAGCACATCATTAAATGAGGAGATTTTATGTTTCCAAAAAGCCATTTGTGACCCCTGTCCAGATATCTCACATACTGTAAAAGCAATAAGAGGCACAGACTGGGGCTACTAGAAATCAGCTGTTGAATAGTAAAGGCATTTTTATGACAAATACTTTAATAGCTTTTATTTAGTGTAACATTACCTTGAGTAGTCTTCTGGGGTGTATTACTTAAGTGTTAAAAATATAAATAATGGACCACTAGGCCACTGTCTGTCTCCTTTTTATCCAGGTACATTGGTGTATTAACTGCAACTCTTCATTTGAAAATGAGCCACTAATAATTCAAATTGTATTGTTTTTTCTTGTCTCATCTGCATTGTAAGACAGCTTATGTGGGCCTTTTGTTGTATAGAAAAATGGCCCAGGGACTGGTGTTGCCTCCAGGCAGTACAAGCAAGAGTCCTTTGAACAGGCGCCCATGTACGTAGCTGTGATGACATACCTGGGCTATGGGATTGTCACCCTTTTTGGCTACCTCAGAGATTTCCTCAGAGCTGTGGAATTAGAGAGGTGCCATGTTGCCCAGGAAAAAGAAGAACAGAAGGTAGGTCAAACACGCGATCAACACAAACATAAGCACACAGATAGTTGGTATAGAGGCACATGTTTTGGATGACAACACATTTTCTCCCCTAATTATTTCAATTTTTGCTATAAGGCTCTCCCTCTGCCTTCTCCCTCCATGTTCTTCTGCATTTTAATGTTGCCATGGATGAGACAGCACACCACAGAGAATTTCTGTTGAAAACCTAATTAAATCTCTAAGGATTTTAGTTCTTCCGTTGTTACTGTGCTTTACATGCTAGATAAGACTTGACACTACACTACGAGAACCACAGTTTTACCAAAGATTTGATTTCTTAAATCCAAAAACTACAGTTAAGACAGTTAGATTCACATTAGTTAATGATTTGTTCTGTTCATATTAAACAAATCTATGACCTTTAAAACACAAATGCTGTGTCAATGTTTTGTCGTTAAATTGGTAAGGCAGTACTGTAGCTTCATAGGTAAAGAGGATAAAATGGACTCTAGGGGGAATAATCAGTTTATCCCCTGTGTTTGACAAAGGTCACTTAATTGTCTTAAGGGTCAAAAATGACCCGTGGCCATTCTAACAGCAGGAAAAAAAACCCTAAATGATTTTTTCAACTTGAAATTTGATGACTTTTCCTAAAATGACCCAACATTAGAAAAAAAAAAAAGAATTATTTTCATGAGGGCCTTGCACACCTAGGGTACAAAGATTGTCTTAGAGGTCAGTTTTGACCCACCAGCTATAAAACCATTTATACAACACAAAAACTACAGATACATCACAGACACACACTGGCACACACACGATTCCTCATTTTCAGATGAAGAAGAAATCCCCCAAGCTGACAAAGAAACCTTTTTTGTCAAAGAACAGCAAAATATCATGGTCTTCTATCATATGGCAACCTGGGCAGGATGGCAGCAAATGTCATGAAGATGACCCCAGGGCCAACATGAGATGCTGTTTCCCATGCCCAGGACATCATTTCAACACTTATAATGTTCTTTACACCAGCCATAAAAAAAATCATCCTGGAAATGACCAAACTTTGTGGTTTCCAGAAATATGGAGACAAGTGGAAAATCGTGGATGAGACTGACCTGCGTGCCTACATAGAGTTGCTAATCCAAGCAGGTGTGTATAGGTCCCGAGGTGAGGCTACATCTAGTCTCTGGGATGCAGAGAGTGGAAGAGCGATTTTCCGTGCCACAATGTCAATGAAGGTCTTTCACACTTTTTCAAGAATCTTACGGTTTGATAACCGTAAGTCAAGACCTGCAAGACGAGTGGCAGACAAACTGGCTGCCATAAGAGAGGTCTGGGAGAAGTGGGTGCAGCACCTGCTGTACCTCTACAACCCCTAGCCCTGAAGTGACAGTGGATGAACAATTGGTTCCAGTCAGAGGTAAATTTTTATTTTCATATCTGTAATGTAAATTATCTTCAATGTTGATTATCTTTTGCCAGCAGGTCGTTGTCCTTTATGACAATATATGCCCAGCAAGCCAGCAAAGTATGGCATCAAAATATGGGTGGCCTGTGATGCACAATCCAGCTATGCTTGTACAAGTGTACACAGAGAAGCTGACTAGTGGAGGCCCAGAGAAGAATCGGGGGATGCGGCTTGTACTTGATGTGACAGATGAACTGAGGGGTCACAATGTCACGTGTGAAAATTTCTTCACGTCTTATAAACTTTGCCAGCAGCTACTGAGGAGAAAGATCACTGTGGTTGGCACAGTCAGAAAGAACAAGCCTGAGCTGCCCCCTGCACTACTTGCAACAAGGGGGAGAGAGGCCGTCTCTTCAAAGTTGACTTCACCCCCACCACCACTCTAGTTTCTTGCCTCCCAATGAAGCACAAGAATGTGGTCCTCCTGAGCACACTGCACCAAACAGCAGAGCTCAGTGATTGTGAGGGAAAGAAGCCAGCTATCACTCTGGACTACAACCACAACAAAGGAGGTGTGGACAACATGGACAAGGTGATTGGAACTTACAGCTGCAGGAGGATGACTGCACACTGGCCCTCGGCCATCTTCTATAACATCATTGATGTGTCCTCATACAACGCCCTTGTGATTTGGAGCCAGCTGTTCTTGGAACAGCTGGGAAAGTCACTCGGAAATTCAAAGAAGAGAGTGTCTCCCTCACACAGCAGCCTCTTCAGCACTTGTGAAAGCTGTTCAGAGTGCTGAATCTTCTTCTGTTTCACGTGAGGTTGCAGCTGGGGCAGGCAAGAGCAGGAGATGCCAATGCTGTGCCCCCCAAAAAGGACTGTAAAACAAAAACCATGTGTCTCATGTGTAAAAATATATCTGCAAAGTCCATGCTCACCCCCTATCCTACTGTCACGTATAAATTAGGAGTGTGTTGTCAAAAGGTTGGTCGATATTGTGGTTGTATTTATATTCAAGCCTTTGTTATTATAGTTACATATCTGCAAAGTCCATGCTCACCCCCTGTCCTACTGTCACGTATTAATTAGGTGTGTGTTGTCAAAATGTTGGTCAATATTGTGGTTGTATTTATATTCAGGCCTTTGTTATTATAGTTATTGTTTGCCTGCTTGTTTCCTTTCAATAAAATGCATTCAGAGCTCTTTTCTGTTGCTTTAACTTTTATGAACTTTATACACCTATGCAGGTACCTTTAGCAGTAGAAAAAAATAAACATACTTTAGTAAAAAACAAGTGGTGCCCACTGATTAAATATTGATGGAATACTGCACACTGAGGAGGGAAAACCTAGACATTCACAGAGTTTGTGATGAATGATGAGGTTGTTTCTTCATGCAAAATAGACTTGAAGATTAAAATTACGTTTAGCTGCTTTATTTTAGAGGTTCACTAAAGGCAGGTCATTTTTGACCCTTAGGACAAGGGGAGTATACAGAATTCCAAGACCACACAAGTTAAACGTGGTGGCTTCATTGGATGAGGCATGCAGCTAATGAAGGCAAAGGCTAGTCTTGGTAAATAGTGTTAGGGGATCAATGTACGTATTGTTTCTAAAACAGTACATGTAAAGACTACAGTGCTGTAGATCTGACTTTCTTCTCTTGCTTCATAATTACAAAAGTCACTGTGCCTTGATGAAAAGCTGGGTACAGTACTGGACAATAATGCGTGTATAAGACATCTCAGGATGTTTTTACGATGCTTGGGTATCTTTCAGAGGGACCAATGTGATCACAATTTGAGTTGCCACCTTTCCTGCTCTTATTGTTCCTCCATCCTGTGGCATCCTGTTACTGGAAGTTGATGTTGTGAAGTTGATGAAAAATGTTCTCTCTGCCTTCAGGATTTTGTACCGCTTTATCAAGATTTTGAGAACTTCTACACTCGAAATCTGTACATGAGGGTAAGAGACAACTGGAACCGCCCTATATGCAGCCTGCCAGGACCTGTGTTTGACCTGATGGAGAGGGTGTCTGATGACTACAACTGGACATTCAGGTACTGTGATCCAGTCATCTATGACAGACATACTGTAGACGAGACATAATATAGGCTCATAATCATACAGTTCTGGCTTAAGATAAGCCAGTAGTATTTTTAACACAATCATCTTTCTTCTGGGACTGGAAACTAGACAACTGTAGCTCCTCTGCTATGGGCTAATGGGGAAAATAGAAACTAAAGCATGTTTGTCATCAGCAAGGATATTCAGGCTTGACTTTTAGGACCACAGTTGAGATTCTTATGTAATGCACAGCAGGTACAGCAAACATAATAGGAACATGAACCGATCCACGGGGAGAGAGCATGACATTTTAAATTGGGAAAGAATGGTAAGCATGGATTACATGTTAAAGAAGGTTCTATGTGACTGGAAAAACTAGAAATGGGGCAGTCAACTAGTCTTTTGTGGTGAACCTTGTTGAAAAAGTAGAGATGCGAATGGGTTTTGAAGTGGTTCACAGGTTAACACGAACAGTGAGAAGTAGGTCAGTTAATGAAAATGGAGAAGCTCCCCTAAAATACATTTAAAAACGTGATAACTGACCATGTGAACTTCTGCGATGCTTACCTGAAGGTGATATATTGCAAGAAATTACACTCAGTTTATAATTGCACTTCTCATGAACAGAATTGCACAGAAAAAGTAACAGGTTTATGATATTTACATTATTAAAATTTAATTAAATGTTGATTAAAAAATTAAACGGCTAATTGATTCCTAATGTTTACACGATTGCAGGTTAACTGGGAGGACAATACACAATGTCATCAATACGGGCTCTTACAACTACCTTGGTTTTGCTGAGAACAGCGCTGATTTCCTGAAAACTGTGGCAGATGTAACGTGCCAATATGGGGTTGGAGTTTGCAGCACAAGGCAGGAAATAGGTAAGGTTGTGGTTAAAGTTCAGTTGTACCAATAACCAAAAAAAGTGTGGCACTTCTTCTTTTAGTTTCAGCCTGGGCAGCCTTTTTGTCACGAGGAAGAAAAAAAATCCCACTTCATAAATCAAGTTAAAAGAGATGTTGGGGGTATACAGTGCAGATATCTTACGCACACCTCTATTGCAAAAGTCTGTCAGATCCTGATGACATTATCAAGTTCCAAACTACAAATAAAATTCTGTCTCCCTCATCACATTATTTATCTTCTTTTTTGTGAATTATACTGGCCCCTTGTTTAATTATCTTTCAGTGATTGCAGTGTTGTATGAATTATTCAACCTTTGTGAAATGATGTATCATTTGGGCATACACTGAGATCATTAGGCACGGGGTAATGATAAAGTGGAATGTAACATTATGAAACACCCTGGACTTTAAGTGGGCTGAAAAAGAATATGTTGTACTGATGGAAGTGTTTGAACAGCAAGGATCAGAAAGAATGGTCTGTAGCTTCAGATGGATTTTGAATGGTGCTTCCTCCTCTGAACTTCAACCCATTCCCGATGGACTTTAAGTAGCTGTGTGTGCTATGATCGCATGTTCCAGCATAGCAGTGTTATAGCAGTGAAATCTGGTTATTTGCCACACACTGTGTGTTTACTGGTGAATACATGAACTGAACAGGCCACACTGTCGCTTTTATCTCTTAGTGATAAGAGATAAACATACTTTAGTAAAAAACAAGTGGTGTCCACTGATGCCCACTGATTAAATATTGATGAAAATCTGCACACTGAAATACCCCCCCCACACACACACACACACACACACATACACATACTTCACACTATATATTATTCATTTATGTGATTTATTTATATTTATTTCTCCTTCAAATGTGGACTGTTTTTCACTGGGCCTTTAATCTGCATTTCAGCTCGGTCACTGAAATGGTTAAGGAATAACAAGGATTTCTCTCATGAGATCTTATTAAACATCAATTTTTAAAGACCCCTGGGTCTCTGTAGTAAAAGTGATGCCATGGTCAATAGTGTTTTAGTTCAAATGCAGAGATTTGTAGTGGCAACGCACAGAGTTGAGTTGAAAAGCTGCAAAATAAATGCAAAGTGTTAGGAGTCCTTGACCAGTATGCAGCACAGACCCGCAAGCTGATGTTTCGGCACTGCATAATTTGCCTTCTTCAGAGCTGCATGAGTGCTGAAACGTCAGCTTATGGAATAAGGTCTGTGCTGCATAACCATCGAAGGGCAAGGGTTTTTGCTCATTTACTGCTCACAATTATTACAGCCTCTTGTGTACACCTCCCTACAGTTTTGAGCCACACATTATCATGCTGGGTTGAACTATACATTATAAGTCTGCTTCAGTTGAGTTGGGTTGTTGTTAAAAGTTACCAAAAAAGATCAATCATTCTCTCACAACCGCATTACTGTATTTACAGAGTGCAATTTCAGGTGCTGTTTTATTGAACAGGAATGAGCATGTGGACACAAAGTGCACTGAAAGCACACCCTCTGAATAAACACACGTCAAACATTCATGGATTTGTATTAATGTTTAGATCGCTGTTGCCACTTTTGCTACACTTAACATTCAGCTAATTGGGTGATATCTATTCATAGGAATGATGAATGATGTTGTGCATTCAAATGTGTGACAGTTTTACCAAGAAATGTTAAGTGTAGCTACTGAGAACACTGTAGTGAATATTTTAGTCTAATACTAGTACCTCGTAGTAATTATAAACATGATAGGATTGTGAGGTTGGAAAGTAGTCTTTACCACATTTAACAGGATGCATAGGACAGTGTAAGTATCTTTTTATTTCAGCCTACTAAAGTACAGCAAGTGAGTGAGTGAGAATAAATAAGAGCTCTCTTCCTGTACCTCATCCAGTCCTGTGAGGTCATTATATCAATAAGACGGCAGGGCATAACTGTGAAGCCACTGCTAAGTAAATGTTCTGTAAAGATGGTAAATGTCAGTGTAGTCTAAATAAAAAAGCTGCACATGCCAGCAGGGGCTGTGAGCCTGAGTGACTGAGGAAATGATTGAATTGATTTGACTTGGCTCAAGGCCTGATGCAAAGCATCAGATGGGAATCACCATAAAGACAGAGCTGCTTTACTACATTATGGTTTTATATACATCACTCAAATCCCATTTTGCAGTCCTTCCTAAAACACTCGGCCTGTTCTCAGTGGCTACTCACTGTTATTGATTGAACTCATATCTTATAGTATATTTTTAACATATATATGCATAACATTGTCCAGAGCCAGCAGAAATAAAATAGAGTATAGGACCCCACCCACCCCCAGTATGGACAGTTCATACCCCTACCCTCTGGTCGGAGGCTCAGAAGTGTGAAATGCAGGACCTCAAGACTGAAAAACGCTTTCTTTCCGACTGCCATCAGACTCGTAAACAGCTGACTCAGGATCTACCTCATGTAATTCCATCTGTACTGTTTACATACTCATTTTGCACATGCATATTTGCACACTCACTGCTGAATGTTTGCACTTCACAGCTCCCACGTAGCATATATTCTCTCTACATTATATAGTGTTCTTGTTGTATTTTTATTGTGGTTCTTTCACCTGTGCTTTAAAGTGCCTTAGATTTGTGTTACTGTCTATTTAGATTTGTGTTATTGCTCATCTACTTTATATTTCACTTGTATTTTGTGGCATTCATGTGGACGGCAAAGTAAGAATTTCATTGTACAGGGAAACACGTTTCCTAACTGTGCATATGACAGATAAACACTTTGACCTTTGCCTTGACTGTTGTTATGGTCCCGCAGAGGTCAGCTGTAGTGCAGGTAAAAAAAACAACAAGAGGAGAACAAAGAAGCTAACAAGGCTAACTTCAGGCTAGCAGGATTACACCACATTCAACAGTTCTCCAGACACATGCTCACAAACCAGCTCTATATGCTGCACTCCGCACTCCACACCACACCCCAGGGCAAAGTCCTCTCTCTTCAGGCTCAGGAAACTGCTACCTTTTTACGAGTCCAGCTGGCAATTGAATCCTCCAGGTTTAAACCGACCAGTGAAGGCCACCATGTGAGAGCAGGAAAGAATAGATCATGGAGGGGAGGAGAAGAAAAAACAGTGGCCCCTACCCAGCATGTAACAACTACATGAACCATTTGCTGCCTACCTCTCTGCATGTCACAATCAGCCAAAAGAGCAATACAAAAACAAGCCCAGAATTACCTGATAGCAGATTATGAATTACAATATAAATGAACTCTGGTCCCTACCGGTCACATGGTGTTCTAATCAAATGCCTCAGTCCCAAAATGGGCTGCAGAACCAGAATTTACAGGGCCTGCCTTGATATTACCTGTGATGAAAAAGGGTAGTTGAACTGTAAAACTAGCACATCTTCAATTTTTATAAATTCCTTCAAATCCCCAAAGACTGAGAGGCCCTTATACTGTGTGTCCTGGTAATCCAGGCTTTTGCCTTTGGGTCTCTTGCTTTATATCAGAAGTCATTCATCTCTGTCAAAACATGTGACATGATGACAAAGGCCAGCAAAGCCCAGGAGCTAAAAGACTACCAGAAAAAGCAGCAGGTGCAGTGATCTTATCAGGGTGAGTGATGAGTGATCCTTTTATGATTTCTCTCTTATAGGTAACCTGGGCATCCATGAAGAACTGGATAAACTTGTGGCCAATTTTCTTGGAGTAGAGTCCTCCATGACCTTTGGGATGGGTTTCGCCACCAACTCGATGAACATTCCAGCACTTGTTGGCAAGGTTTATGACTATACACACTAGATGCCAACTACTGTATCAGAGAATCCTGTTGTAAATAGGTGTAATTTTCACAACGTAGCAGAAATCAATCTGATTAGCCTAGCTTTTGTCCCTTGCTTGCATATGGCCTAAATTAATGAGTAAGAGTCAACTAAACTCAGCTGCAAACAATTCCTGATCCATGCCTGTTAATTAAAATCATTATTAAACATCACAGTAGCCAGAAGGATGAGGTTCTGAGCATACATAGCTGCTTTTTGACACATAGACAAGGAAGGGCACATTTTGTTAAGAGCACCACTCAAGGGGATGATTACCCATACTCTGGCCTGTCGGCACACCAGCCTGGGTTACCATGGGCAACACACAGCATGAATAACTATGATTGGACTGAACGGGAGGAAAGGGAAGTTGATGGTATCAGTGATGAAAATGGGGTCATTTATGCAGCTCAAGAGGTCTAGCAGTCCCTTCTGCTGTAGCCCCCACAGCAACCCTACAGGGCTGGGGGTCAACCCTCACTGCCAACTCTGTCCCACAGGGACAGGCTGTGCCAGGACAGGTCTTGCTGTGCAGGCTCAGCTACATTAGAGTGATAGCTGCTGGTAGACCAGGGACAAGGCCAGTTGAACCTCAGGCAAAACTAAGGGTATCTGTCACTGAGACAGTGTTAGTATACCCTCTGCAAGGGTTTGTTCAAAGTAATAAAGTCAGATGCTTAGAGCTCACAATGGCTGATTTCATGTGTATGCAAATTTTTATGCAGTATGAAGAAACATATTTTCTATTACGAAAATTGATGTGTGTCTGTCAAAACTTCATCAGACATGGCAGAAGTGAAAAATGACAGTGCAGACAACCATTATCATACACTCAGAACTTAGACACATATACACATATAGGGGGTCATGATCAATAATGGATGGAGGTGGGGCCAAATTAATGGACTGACAAATTATTGGCCAAGTATAAACTACTAAATCCAAAACACTATTGTACATTATCTATGCAGATTTCAGCATCTTATCAATAATAGTAGTACTACTAAAGAGTCACTGTAATGTATAAAGAAGAATGTTGTGGAGTTTTGATTTCACAAATGCAGGAGCATGCGATTCAGCTATTACCCTGCAACTCTTCTCTCTCTGCCTTTTTTCAGGGTTGCTTGATATTGAGTGATGAGCTCAATCACACATCTCTCATCTTAGGGGCCAGACTGTCAGGAGCGACCATCCGAGTGTTCAAACACAACAGTAAGTCCAGACATTATTTATGTCATTTGAACATGAGTCATAGCGTTTTTACCTGACAAAAATACAATACAGAGAATTTTTAAAGTTATAACTACTATTGTTTCTATGTGGTGCTATATGCTCATTGTTCCTCCCCTGTACCCCCAGAGCATCAAACACTGTGTTTTTTTTGTCCTGAAGATATTTGTTGCTGAAGTCTGGATTTCTGTCTGTACAGCCACAGTGAATACTAGAGCTCAGATTTTCCAGTTTTTCTTCTGTTCATTCTGAAACTGTTGCTGCTGTGAGAAACACATCACAGTCTGTGCGGTACAGGATTTGCCTTAGGAAAGACCTACTTAACATTCCGTGTTCAGAGCAGCAAATGTAAAAGCTTTAATGAAATGGGTTCAGTTTACAGTCATGACTGTTTTATCCAGCAGCAAAACAGAAAGTTAATTTATATGAAAATGTCGTCTTACTTCAACAATCTGTTCTCTCTTATATTGTCATATTACATATTGTCAATGCAGTAGATGATAAAGGAGAATTATTAAGCATGAATGATACAACATTCATGGTGCTTGCATTGGAAACATCCCCTGCTCTTTCAGGAGCAAATGAGCCAGTCCTCTGGCAGAAAATGTGTCCTGACAGGTACAACCACTGTTAGTTAGGGGTCCTCCAAGCAGATTCCAGATGCTCATCTAAAGGCAAAGAGCCCTCAGGCACCTAAGTAGTTGACTCCTCCCTGTCTCTAGACCTCCAGCACCAGATACTTGTACACACATATATTGGTACAAAGCTAACATTTACTAGGGTTAAACCAGTCAACCTAGCCACTTAAATATATAATGATATTTGCAGCAATATGTATTGGTGCAACATGTGATCTCTTGCTCATGATGTTTGAAATGTTTAAGGTTTTAAAAGGCCTGGTTTTAACAGAGATTGAATTTCATACCAGAGAGAATATGATCTGATTTGTCCAGTGTAGCATCGTCACACATTTGAACTACTTGAAATAGTCATCAGATCAGAAATGTATTTACTAGAAGGTTTGGTTATTAAACTTCTAGTACTTGTGCACCCTGAAGGTCAGTGTAGAGATAATTCCATTTTATGGACGACTATCCTCCTCATCACAGTCATATACAGTAGTAGCTCAGATCAGGCTGTAGCCTGTTTTAAATCAGCGCTTCACTGTGAAGTAATCTTTTCTTCATTCTTGTCTGTGAAAACATCAAGTCACTGTGGATTCCTCTTTCACTGTCTGGTTTCCTAAATGCAGACATTGCTAACATTAAATGTATTCTGCTCTGTTGAGCTTCAGTAAGAGTATCTTGTGTTGAGGTAGCAGTATCAATCATCTCTGACAGATTATTAGCTATGACAGGTTTACTTGCTGCTGAGCTGGAACTGATTGGGCTGCAGTCAGGTGTTAATAATGCTCCTTATTAACCACTTCTATTCAATACTGCCATCTGCTGGTGTGCAGCATTAACAACCTTGCCTGTAGCTGTAAGAAACTCCAAATGGTACTGGGAAATGATGTTGCTGAAGCCAACATTTCAATCATGCAGACAGCACTGGGAAAACCTTTGCCAAACCCATATCTAGCTCAGTTAGTAATTCTCTCTGAGACAGACAGTGCAGATGTTCATTAGTGCAGAAGTACAGACAGCTGACAAATTATAGCAAAAACCTGAATAAATGAGTGGTGTTTTCCAGGATGACGGTGCCCCAACCACAGGGCATGAGGGGTCAATGAATGGTCTGATGAGAAGGAAAATGATGTGAATCATCTGCTATGGCCTCCACAGTTACCAGATCTCAACCCAGTTGAACACCTATGGGAGATTTTGGACCAATGTGTTAGACAGTGTCTCCATTATCAAAATGCCAGTGGAATTCAGAGACTTGTAGAGTCGATGCCAAGGTGCACTGAAGTTGTTCTGGTGGCCCAGCACCTTATGAGACACTTTATGTTGGCTTTTACCTTCCATTTGTCACCTGTCTGTATTTCCTGTGGAAGGTAGTTTGTGGAAGGTCAGATAAAGTAGTGCCTTGTATATTCTGTGAACTGCTGTGCCCTCTGGAAGTTATCGCTCTGCTTACTGTTTTGCCTTTAGTTGATTCTTGCTGCATTATGCATACTGTGTATGTTATAAACATAGAAAGTGTAATTGTATGGCATTTCATAGTACAAGCCTAAAGTACTATTTTAAATGGTTTTTTTATGTTATTGTGTGTTACATTTGTCTGTGTGTGTTTCCCACTTAATAGACTTAGAATTTCGTGTAGATTAGATTGTGACTGGGAATATTTGATTGATATTCTTGCCTGCTTTTCCACTGTCTCTCACTCTCGTGTGTGTGTGTGTGTGTGTGTGTGTGTGTGTGTGCGTGCGTGCGTGTGTGCGTGCGTGTGCGTGTGTCTCTTTCAGACATGCTCAGCCTGGAAAAGATGCTAAGGGAGGCAGTTTGCTCAGGGCAGCCTCGGACCCACAGGCCCTGGAGGAAGATCCTCATCATGGTAGAAGGCATATATAGGTTGGTCATCCTTAAGATTCTTAACAGAACACAAGGGTTAAACAATCCACACACACTAAAGTATAGTCGCTCTAGACACATATCTTGGATCATCTGAGCTGCTGTATCAATCTTTTTGAGTATGGGCTTCTAGTTGGCTTTAGCACAGCTAGACTTGGGTACAAATCTTCATTTGTAGCCTGGGGAGAGCTTTCACTTTGTGTTTAGTCGTCCCTGTAATGGTTTCCTTTTCAATCGCTTCCCTCTCTACCCTTGAATAATAGATAGTGTGTGTATGGTTGAGTACTGTTTGATTACTGGACAGAGGAGAAAGGTATTGTGTGTGTCTCTCCTGGCAGTGAGCTATCCTGAGCCTTAGTGACCCTCTCCATCTGCTCATTAGCTCAGAATCAAGGCCAAATGGAGCCACAGAGATTGACTTGGATACACCCCCAGCTCCAACTGTTTATCACAGCCATTTTATTTTCTGTTTTCTTCCCTGTTTTTCCTTTACATGTCAGCCCCTCTGAACTAAAACACATCATATTCATTGCGCTGTTATTTTTTCTTCAACACATTAATTCACATTCAATCAGCTGTAAAGTGTATTTAATTGTTTTATGACAATCCTCTCATCAAAAAAAGGCAGAAAACCTTGAACATGGCCATGAGTTTGGTATAAATAGTGATTAGTTCCGCAACAATTCTGGTAATTTGAGAGACAGCTAAATTGCACATTATCAGACTGCTTTTATCAGGCTATAATGTCTAGTGTCAGGCTCAGACATAAGAGAGAAATGCTGTCTCTGAAAGAACCAATGCTCTGTCGCCTCCTGATAACATCAAAAGGCTCGGACAGAAAGTAAGCATGCTTTAGCTAAATCCTGGGTCTGCTTTTAATGTCCGTGGACCTGGTGAAATCCTTTCTTATGTCATTTGGGCTTCAGAGGTTCTCAGCAACAGCAAGGAGAGCAGGTCTGGGATTGTTCCATTCCTCGGCCATTTACTCACTCACACTGTCTATTTGTAGCCTTAAAAGGCTTGTATCGAGGATGAGTGAAAGAGGCCAGCAGAAAGATTCTTGGAAGATTGTGACATGTCAAATTATGTAATATGCATTTACAGATGTACAGATGCTCTGCAGTGGATAACGTAAGGTCAGGGTCAGATTCTTTTCCTTTTAAACTTAATCGCTTAAAGAGTTTGGTTTATAATGGATGAAATGTGTGTGCCTTTGTTGTTCCTTTTATGACTTTTTGTATGATTCTATATCTTTAGCATGGAGGGCTCAGTGGTGCGACTGTCTGAGATCATTGCCCTAAAGAAGAAGTATAAAGCATATCTGTACCTGGATGAGGCCCACAGTATCGGAGCAGTGGGGCCATCAGGGCGGGGAGTGACCGAGCTGTTTGATGTGGACCCAGCAGATGTGGACGTGATGATGGGCACCTTTACCAAGAGCTTTGGGGCTGCTGGAGGTTATATTGCAGGAAAAAAGGTTCAGTTTCAGGTTTCTCCTCTTTCATTTTATTATTTATGGACCATATCACATTTATGGACCATATGCAGGCTCAGAACTTTACTGTTTTTATCAGATATTTGACAGTATATAGTGGCAGAAAACATGAGGAAAGATGCAAGACAAGGGTATGTAAATAATGCATTTCAGCAAGGCAACTCAAAGTGCTTCACATAAAACAGGTTACAAGAGACTGACAAGGTGATATTTGAAAGAGGACATACTGTATAAGCAAGGGTTAAAAATAAAGTAGAATATTCAAATAAGCCAGAATTGAATTAAACTGATTAAATTGGAGAATAAAAATTACAGTGCACTGCAAAGTGTGAATGAACAGCCCCAAATTAAATTTAATAAAAGGCATAGACAAGAGTGAAGTTTTAAACCTTGATTTAAAGACCTGAGATTTGGAGCAGACCTCCAAGGATGAAGTGTGCTAAATGTCCTTAGCAGAATATTACTTGAGGAGTTGCAGCATCAACCACATTTTCTTTTTACCAAATAGCACACTGGAGCAACAGCCTGTCTCCTAACAGCACAACAGCTAATAGAAATGTGTTAATAAGTGTGTTGCTACATTTATTAACAAGTAAAATACCATCCATCATCACTGTTTTCATTTCCCTTCATATCAGCAGTTCACACATGTGAATGACTGAACTAGTAAACACTGCAGTAGACCTATCAGGCAGAAACTAGTTGGTTGCTATGCAAAATTAATCTTCCTAGACCCAACCAGGGTCAAAATAAATGTCAAAACTAACAGAGGAGCGGTTAATCATTTAGAAACAATTCTCATGGCCTTGGCTAAGTTGCCAGTCTTACATAATCAAATAACTGAGCAGACTTTGGGATACTTTACTGACATTGCTTTTACAGCCTCGCAATAATTTTCTGTACAATGTTAGCACAAGTGTCACCAAAGCAGGTTAAAACACATCGTGCACACTCCACCACACCCCACCTCTTTCGTAGCTCTCGTGTGTCCAACAAATGTTCCTCAGTCTGTGACTTTTTACTCTATTAAAAAGTACACTTTAGTACATAACCACACCACTTCTGCAGCAGTTGATTAGAAAGCAACAGAGGAAATGGGCATGTTGTTTGAATTAGATATTCAGAAAGGGACCCATCCTGCTGTTGCCTTATGTTGGCTCAGGCCTGCCCTGCCATAATAAGAAGGTAAAGCTGGCAGAGGGCCAGCCCCTTCTTGTGGCAGGCGTCGGAATTGCTCTCCAGATTTAACAGGATGACTTTTAACAAGCATGATAATGTTTGAAGTATGAACACTCTGCCTGGTTTGGCAGCTGGTTGTAGTAAACCCCTGAAGGAAACAGCCAGGAAAAGAGAGAGAAAGTCTTCATTTTGGACATATTTGTTGTGGTGGTGAAATCCCCCAAATCCTACGTTAAGTGGATTTGGGTTGACTGACAAAAGACTCTGCTGATGTGTTCTGGAAACCAGTCGTGGTATAGCTATTTTATGAGTGCGCCAAAAATAAATATCTCAATAAGTACCATATACTGTATGTACGAGAGCGTGTGTAGTTCTGGCACGACTGCTATTCTGTGGTGTTGTATCGTCGCATCAGTTTTGTGGCCACAGTGTGGCAGAGGACACACTCTGAGCTGTCAGTCCATGTCCCAAACAGGAGATGGATTTCAGGCATGTTCTCTTAACCAGTTTATCTTGGTCACACCAAAATCCAGCACGGCCCTAAAATGTTGAAAATCCCCTGCCTTAAACAAAAACAGATGTTAGGTTGGTTCGGGGTTCTTAGCCTTCATTTGAGCATTTCCCCTTAAATCCATTCACCTCATGTGTGTGAGGAAGCCACAGCAGTCACCCACTGGGCACAGATGGCTATGAGTGGAAACGGTGGCCAGACAGCATCTTCGGCTACATGTCGTCAGCCCGCGCCCGCTGACCACCGCACAGCCAGCAAACAGCAGCCTGTCACAGCTCCAGGCCTCACACACGCACACATGCTCTAGGGACCCATGACAATTTCAGCTTCCTGAAATTGTGCTTTTCTTTTGACAACCACCAGAATTAATCTCCTGCTGACATTTAGGAATAATGACCATGGCATATCTCATTTGAACTTTGGTTCTTTCTCAAATTAGTACGCCGGCTCCTCCTGAGTGGAGAGCAGAAAAGAAATTAGAGCTATTTTGCAGCCAATGCCAAGAGAGTCATAGTGACAGAGAAATGACTTGAGGTATTTTAATTGATTCTCAGGTGTAGACTATACACAGGCTCTCTCTAGTGGTGCTAAAATAAAAGTGCAGGGCCACCCATCTGTTACATAGAAGATCTTACATTAATATTTTATCTTTGTTCATTTCTTCTCAAAGTTTTAACAAACAGAAAACTGTAAACATACTGGATCTGTGTGACACTGTGTCCTATATTGCAGGAGCTGGTGGACTACCTGCGCAGTCATTCTCACAGCGCAGCATACGGCACGGCCATGTCCCCACCTGTCACTCAGCAGATCATACGTGCCATGAAGTGCATCATGGGAAATGACGGGACCACAGAGGGTGAGTGTCTGAGTACATCGGGTCTACATCCAGTGAATGTCACCTTCAATTTCAGGCTTATTATCCACATATTTGTCAAACTGTATTTTCTTTACAAATCTGTCTGGCTTATAACAGTTTTTATACTGTTATATAATTTTGTATGGAAACAATATTAAACCAGATCCAGAGGACAATACCAATGTTAACATTAGGAGTAAGTCCAAACCTGCAGGAAAAGATAAACAGCTGCTCTGTCAGAAAATGTGGTAGCAATTACAGGGATCTGCAGTGGTGGAGTTTGGGGTGGGGGTGGAGGGGTTGCAGTCCCTTAAGCACATGTGACCCTAACATGGTGGAAATCATTTTCATGTGTGTGTTGTGAAGAATGCTGTACCTCTGAAAAGTTTCTGCTCTAATGGCATGAGACACTAGGGCAGAGAAGTAGTCATTACCAGAGCAGCTGTGAGACTACTACAGCAATTCTTCTTGAGTTATTATAGTTCTGGTAGCAGCTGCAATAGAAGGAGTATTAGTGGGAGTAGTAGCGTCAGTACATGTAGTGGAGTGGCGGAGGTAGTAGTGGAAGTAAATGGCAGATAATTATATACTTCGCTCAGATCTACAGGGCTTAAGACAAAATAGGTAGACATGGTAAAATATAGAGTGCTGCGATGTGTTAACTGCTTCAACAACTAAAGCTCAGTGTCTCATGGTAGAGGTTATTGTAGTTTCATATGGAGGCGAGTAACTTTGTCATGTGGCTCTGAACCAGACATGCTTTGCATCTGATGTAGTTCAGTGAAATAGCTGTTGTGGAAAAATCAGTCTTGACCTGTCTGATATACAGGAGGAAACCCAACAAACATCAGCTCCAGCATCCATCAAAACACCATAAAAGCCCAAGAGACGTTAAACATTCTTTGCATACCCAGTGAGCCTAATGAATATTTATTTCTCTGTCCTTATCTGTCTCATTGATGTTGAATTTCGCACTTTAAAGTGAACTGGTGGCAACAGCTCTGACACAGGAAAAATCTGTGACAGACAGAAACATCCACACATTCTACTCATATGATTTCTGTGTCTGGCAGTAGAATTTTGTTTTACCTCTGTGCCCAATTTCTTAGCAGAAAGGAACAATTAACAAAATGGGGCCTGTGCCTTCTGGCAGATGCCTGAATGTTATGTTTTTTCCTCTCTCCCTGCTGAGATAAGGGGATTTAAAGTGCTCTCTTAGATCCTCCTGAAAGAACTGCCAATCTGTTCCCAGGTAATCAGAGGGAACTTCTGCTGTGTGTCTCAGTGTGTGACTTTGTTCTCTGTCAGTGGTCATACACTGCTTTCTCATAACATACTAATGCGCTGCTCCGACCATGGAGCAACCAAGCTCCCTAGCGATTCACATCATTAGAGAACACATTGGGTTAGAAGAGCAGATCACCTCTAGTGCCTTTGGTTTGTTTTCTACTGCGTTTATTGGAGATACATGTGATATTTAAATGTATTCAGTTTCAGTCATTGCTCCGCCCCAGTAGCAGTCCACAGTCACATATTTTGTGTGAAATCCATCACATCAAATTTGCAAACCCTCTGAACCATCTGCTGCAGCAGCTGAGCTGTAATCAGAGCAAGTTCATAGTGAAAGCTTGAATGGCCCAGATGGAGGTGCAGGACCCAGGATGAGATGCCACGGCACAGAAATCACCCCATATTAGCTACTGCTGACAGGTGATGTCCCTCCCTGCAGTGGACAGTGAATATATAGAGGAAAAGAGCAGTGAGATGGTGCTTTACTCATGAACATCTGGTGGCATCCTTCTTTTAATTGGAGGCATTAGACGGGTTCGCCAACTGGCAGAGAACATCAGATACTTCAGGGCCAGGCTGAAGGAGATGGGCTACATCATCTACGGCAGTGATGACTCACCTGTGGTTCCAGTCCTGCTCTACATGCCAGGAAAAGTGGCGTAAGTCCATTTAAACTCTCATTTTGCCTCTTTCAGGGTAAAGTCAGATCAACAGGATATGCATAGTCTACTCTAAATTAAATATTAACATCACTACATCTTGTAGTCACCAGCAATTTCAGGTCAGCTCACTATGTGTCATCTTTAAGTGATTTGGTTGACGGCCACATTACACGCTCCAAACTTTCCATGAATATGTAGTACTACATAGACTAGGTATGTGTAACCATGTTAAGAGACAGCACCATGTACTGCTTAGGTAAAAATGAGAATTCTTTGAGCCACTCGGTCATTATCAGATGGGAATAAAGTGTCTTTTTTAATTCATTAAATTAATATCCATCCAGTAACTGCCATAATCAGAAACTATTATTTCCTGCACCAACAGTAGCTTCTGATTTTACAAGGGCACTAATTCTGACTTTCACCGGTCTGATCTTTAAATATTATATGGAACACCAGTCACTACTAAAATATTTACAGTGTTGTTTTTTTAATTTTATGATTTGTCTGAGTTTTCAAGGTTCTTAGGATTTTAGTGCATATTAAAGTAATGGGTCTGTGGCTACACTACTACACTATATAAATTGTTCTATAAGAGTTTCCCTGGTCAGATCTATTAAACTGTATATGTCTGTGATGGATTGGCGACCTGTCCAGGGTGTACCCCGCCTTCGCCCGATTGCTGGCCAGGTATTGGCTCCGGCACCCCCCGTGACCCCGTTCAGGGACTAAGCGGTAGAAAATGACGTTAAGGTTTGAACACAAACACTTATTCACTGTTTGGCCTCAGTGATGTAAAACCCATCCATGATATTGTTGTTTCAACCTTTGTCTTGCTTTTCAGAAATGATTATAGGTTCAACCACACAATTAAGGGTTTGTAGGTGTGGCTGTTGCACCTGAGAGGGGTTGTGTTGCAATCTAACAACATTACAGATTAACGCAGGTTTTTACTTGAAATTTGTAAACAATCAAATGAATCGCTTTACGTGGGCTATAGCTTTTGTGTCTGCAGTCATTTGTACAGTGACCCTGAAGTGCAGAACACAATGACATTTCAGAAAACGCGACTGCAAAAGAAAAAAACACATCAATATTTCACAAAACTCAATGACAAAAGATAAAACTCAGTGACAAAAAGAGAAAACACAATGGCATTCAGATTACAGAAAAGGTAGGGACAACACTGTTTGCTCGTGATTGGAAAGAACCCTAGTCAATCAAGATCAGGGAAGTAAAGCCTCACAGATGCAACCAGTGAATGTTGATGCTACTGGGCTCATTTTAAACTGAGTTTGAAAGGATGGAAGAAGATAGGTAGCTTACTTATTTCTCAGTAAAGTACTATATGTGTGTCACATAAATCTACGTGTCCCCAAAAGGGTTCTGCATGGATTCCGAAGAAGCCGCTCTTTCCTGTCAGTCCCAGCTGCTCCTTTCAGGCTGTCTTCAGGGTGCACACGGTTTTTTTATCTTGATATATTTCCAAGAATGACATCATATTAATGTCCTTCACTGAAATGCCACTTACCTACTGTATGTTCTTTCATCCCGTGAAAATCATTAGACCAGTAGCATCATTATTCACAGATTTCATAGGTGTAGTGTTAACTTATCTTGATTGGTTTGGGTTCTGTCCAATCACAAGCAAACAGTGTTGTCCCTACCTCTTCTGTAATCTGAAATGTCAGTGTTTTCTCTTTTTGTCATTGATTTGTGAAATGTCATTGTGTTTTGTACTTCAGGGCCACCATATGTTTGTATTCTAGTAAATATAACAACTAACATCGCTCTCCTTTTGTTTTGCTGACAAGGGCTTTTGCTCGAGAAATGCTGGAGCGGAAAGTAGGCGTAGTGGTAGTCGGGTTTCCCGCCACGCCGATCGCAGAGGCCCGAGCTCGTTTCTGTCTGTCTGCATCACACACCAGAGAAATGCTGAACCAGGTACACTCATGGGCTTTGGAGAGTTTTTTTTCCACACAAATTAAACGTGAATAAAGAAGCTCTGATCATTTTCTTTTGTCCTCAGGTGCTGCACCATCTGAACGAGGTGGGAGACAATCTCTGTCTGAAGATCTCACAGCAGAAATATTCCTCACAGCCTGACCTCTATAATGAGGCAAACTTTGAGCCAGACAGCTGATATGACCTTTGACACTATCGCTTCACACTGTCAAAACTAAGTCTGAGTGTCCATGCTGCAGCAGAACCCATAAACACACAGTGTAGAATAACGCCCATGTCTCATTGCAGAGAAGACGCCAAATGTTTGGCAGCTGCTTTTTTTGGTTTATAAAACAGTGATTTAACAGAACCGTTATTTGTGCTTCTTCAGACTATATGCATTCTTAAAGTACTATTTTTCTGAATACATTTATTTGTGAATACATACTGTGTATGAAATGATTGCACAAGAATGGCTGTATTGGTCTCAAACTCAAGTATGGTGTAAAATATCTTTTTGTATTTGGCATTTTAATATTGAGAAATAATTTCAGTCTAGAAGTCTGATTCCTCTGCACTCATGTTTTTAAGCAGGTTTAAAATTTAAGATCAGAAGAGGCCGACTCTAGTTACACAGTTATTGTGTTTACTTATGTCTGTATTTAGATGTTGAAAACTTTTTATGGAATAATTTTTTACTTATAAATTGTTCTCAGCCACCATTTATTTAAAAAGAGCTGGTGGTGGTTATTATTACAGAGTGATGCACATTGTGTAAATTTATTTTCTTAACATGAAGTAGTAGTTGTAAGTAACGGAAAAAGCATTTGGAGTTGTACATTTTCTCCTCTGGAGTACAGTTGCATTGCTAAAATTTCGGGTTTTCAGGTTTTATCATTTCTTTCCAATAAATACAAACACCACGCACAAAGAACTTCCAGAATGTGTTTTGCAATAGGAATATTGATTAAATATCCAAATGACCAGGCTCTAAAAAGTCCTTCCCTGTGGATTTGTGTTCATTTTCTGGCACATGATTATTTACACTACTTACAGCTGAATTGACTGAGCAAATGATGATGAAAATGCCTTTATTGCATCCCATAGTAAACAGTTTTTACAAACATTTCCTCGGTATAACACAGCTTTCATCTCTAGAGAAAATAACAGCCCTCCTGTACTATAAATGACAGATCATACAGTTAAACCTCAATAATCCCTGCACAGTATTAAAAAATGTGTTTTAACTTGTTTTGTACTGGGAATGCTTGTAGACACCAAGTCTTAACAGCTTAGTCGCTGATGTTTTAAAGACCTGCTGTTCTCTTTCGCACACAAACTGTGTAACTGTTGCGAAGGTAAGCATTCAGAGTATGCAGCACCTGAGCCAACAAAAACCTGACCTAGCAATTAGCACTGAACTCTTAAATTCTCGTGGTATGGGGTAATCATTTGATTAACACAGGAAGGATTATAGATGGATGATAAACGTGTTTTCACAGAATGCCAGATTGGGTCCAGGGTTTATCTTCAGGGCGTTAATATGTTGGTGTGTTTTCCTCCATGTAAACAACATAGTGATAACATTTTACAAAATGGAATTAAAATACAATTTGCAATCTTTAGGAAAAACATGGTGGATAAAGAACAGACTTAGAAGGGGAAAAACTCCTTGACCCCAAAAGAGAGAAAACTGTTGAAATCTAGTGGCTCACTTAGTTCTGTAAATGAAAATTCACATCTTGCTTCTATAACAACAGATGATCTTGGAGGAGATGGGAAAAGGTGGCCTCAGATGTTGCACTGGGGTGCACTGACATCCTCACTATGTTTGTGTTTACTTTCATCTTCAGTCTATTTGTGGGTTTACAGTAAAAGACAGACGTGTATAATCTAAAAAGCTTGAATTCACTCTCAAACATAACTCAGTGTGTCACCGACATAGAACACTCAGATACTAAGCTCCACTGGGATTATGCAGAAAGGCAAACTCTAACTTGAGACTGAGACTTACTAGCCACATTTTTGTACAGTTGCACAGCAGAAAAAAATTAACCTCAAATTTGAGAATGGATTTCAGTTTGAAGAAACTTCTTTTTGCTGTAGACAATGTTCAACTTAACGTGTAGGTAAATGAATGAATTCTGTAGGACATATTTGTATGGTTCAGCTAATGGAAGTCTTGTGTATCCTTGTATAACAGAACTTGAAGTAAGTAAAATTGCTCTTTTTGTAAAGGAAAGCAGAAAGTTTTTGTCAGCAGATAAAAACTGACACATTTGGACAAATCTGTGTCCATACAGAGCAACAATCATGTCAAGTCATTTCAGTCTTCTCAGAAATAACCAGTTCTTAAAAAAACTGGTAAAACATGCTATATTTTCACATTATTTATATTTTCTGGTGGACTAATAAACATTCATTTTGTCTGGACTTTGTTATGGCATCATAAAAATCTACTCCAGAGGTGTCAATTTCAAACTGGCCAGTGAAGCAAAGTGACTTTCAGTGTCAGGCAAGCTGGGAAGCACATGTCCTCCCTCCAGTCAATTCTAACTGCCCTCAGCTTCAGGAGAAGTGGCAAATGGGCTGCACTGGCATTCAAAACATCTGTGCCACCAGACCACTGGTGGCAAGGCCCCAGAGACCTGCCTGCCTGCACCAGTCTCTTTTGAACTGCAGATCCAAATACACTGCACTTATTGGAATGGCATGTATAGCTGCTATTCTGAAGGGGGATCCTCTGCTACGCCTTTGATGTCCACCACTGAGTCCAAAGCAGGCGAACTATTCTCACTGTTCTGTTTTCCATTTAGACAGAGATTTTTCTATTCTGGAAAGGGACTTTTGAAGTGTAGCAGACAAAGGACAGATTTACATGATTTAGACAGCAATGACGTGCCTGGAGTAAGCAAGACCGAGGACTGCAGTAAAGCTGTATACTGGGATCTGCTTGTAAACAGGGACATAAAGTAGGCCAAAGTGGTGCTTTCCATACCGACAAGGTCTAGTAGCATATATTTGTTTTGTTTTTAATCATTTGGACATTTGATCAACCTCATCAGACACTTGTGAGATGGTCAGATTTACTGGATAACATTATTCATTTAAGGTGTTGAAGTGCTCCATCCTGCTCATCACTTTATGCTACCTATTACTGGCTTTCTTTAGAATAAAATATAAGCTTCCACTGAGGCCAAGTTATTTTTTTTATGGCACACATGGACATTATATCTCAGCTGATGTTAATTCAGGGTTTAGGCCTGGGTTTAGTGTAGCCCATATTACAGTGAAAGATGTTGTTGTTTACAATACCCGATGCTGTAAATCAAATGAAGGCTGACTCTTGTCAGCTTTATTGTTGGCTTGTATTCAACATATTCAGAAAAACGTGTTGACATATAAACATCCATCTATCCATTTTCTACTGCTTAGTCCCTGAACAGGGTCACGGGGGTGGCTGGAGCCAATCCCAGCCGGCAATCGGGCGAAGGCGGGGTACATCCTGGACAGGTTCCCAATCCATCGCAGGGCTAACACATAGACGAACAACCACACACACGCACACACACACACACTCCTATGGGCAATTTAGAGACACCAATCAACCTAAGCTGCATGTCTTTGGACTGTGGGAGGAAGCCGGAGTAGCCGGAATTTAAATCCTGTCCATGTAAAACAAGTTCACTTGTTTTTGGCCAAAGCCAAAAAATACTGAAGCCAGGTAATTTGGAAAACCTAAAGGTTTGACTGATCCAATTATAAAGAAAGGTCCATATTTATGAAGCAACTGTAACAAAAGTCTACACATCCATTTGTTTTTTCATTTTTCTTTTGTTTTTGCTTTTTATTTTAGTCTTTGTTTTCCTTTCATTTATTTGATTTTATTTTTAATTCATTCATTCATTTAGTTATTTATTTATTTGGGTGATAGATTCAATCCTCCTGGGCATAAATAATAACCTGCAAAGTTGTTCTTTTGGATTCTAGTCAGGGGACATTCCCTTCTTTCTATAAAAACCTACTGATGTTCTATTGCCCTCTCTCATTTTAGGAAATCTGAAAATTTAGTTTCTCACTTGCTCAGTCAATTCCTCACCAAATGGAGTCCTATTGTATTAGACACACAGGCAAAACTGAGAAAGCTGAGGTGTTTATTATGCTATTTTATAACCTTGTTTTTGTAGCTAGCCTTAAATGCAAATCACTTTTGTTGAAGTGATGACAGGTAAACTGACTTTTGTTGCAGTGGTCATTGGTGTATTCACATGTTGCACTGAGGGTTTCTTAAATGTGGCCTGTGTTTTCAGTGCTGTTTATGCAACCTGATTGCTTTTAATTATACATAAGAACAAATAATCTTCAACTTAAAAATAACACCGTTTTATAAAATTATATGTTTTTGAATCATTCGGAGCTGTATCTTGTTTTGTTTTATACTGTATACTATCCTACTCATTCATTATTACATTTATTTGCTTTTTAAATTTGATTGGGGCGATAGTGTGGCTTTTGTTCCACTGGTCCTGACTGAGCCGGGCGTTTTGCGCCATTTGGCCCCAAAATCAAGGATTGTGCGTGTGCACAATCAAATATATGTGTTTAATCGTGTCATCAACTAATCTTTGAAAAATGACACAGAAAAACTATCTCTGACACTAATATGGTGATGTTGTTAGTCATCATCACTAACATTACTGTTCCACTTGTGCTCAGCCTGCAACAGCTGCAACATCCCTGCTTGGCGCATAATTTGACACGGCGACTTCTCCTTTGAAGCGCACAATAAAAAGTCTCATGAGGGTTAACCACATTAAGTACCATTTGTCTTGTTTAAGTGAAGTGTTACAAACACTTCCGTAGCAGCGTTTTAATCACAGGTTAAGACAAAGCTGCTGCACAAATGCCAGCAGGAGAGTCAGACCTCCTGGACAGAACGACGGGGATTTGCCGCTGCGCTGCCACGGGCCCCTGTGTCAGTGCGCCTCAGGGGACCACCAAGGTTACTCCAGGTTGTTTTAGAGAATCCTTGCTGCGCCCCTGTAGAGTTGCAATTGTTTCTATAATAAATTCTATACTGATGAGTTAATTTGAATGCATATCCATTGTTTAATTTGGGAATTGTGTCACATCTGTGTCAAAGATCATTTTTAGTTTTTAAAACTCGTGTCATTTTGATCCTGCGGCTAGAAAGGGGTTAAATGCCTGTCAACTGTAATGGGAAGCTGGGCATTATATATTTATGTGTGATTCTCATTCTAACTTCTACTTGAATATTTGGTGTTAACTTTGGGGATGACTGGTCGAGAGGAAAGAGTTAACCGGGGGAGGGTGCCTGCACAGGGGCGTGTGGTATAAGACCACCTCAAGAGCGCACAACAAGAGCGGCGTGTATGTTTTAAAGAGTTGTAGTTTGATATGGTTTGACTTGTTTTCTCCAGCAGAACTCATTAGAGACGCCCACCAGCCTGTGTCTTCATTTTGGTGGGTTCACAGTCCGCAGCATAATGGATGAACACTGTTTTTGAAGCGGACAGAACTACACCCTGAACTTTTAACTGGGAAGGTAATTTTTAACTACCTCTACATTTTGTCCAAGGGTAGTCTCGTCGAATAACGACTGGTTAATGCAGAATGTGGAGAAAAGTAGGCATGCGTAAAATAGCTGAAGTGGAAGTGAGAACAACTGAAATGCTGGGACACTACGGGGCAACTGGACTGCAAGTTTTCCTGAGTTTGGACATCTGATGAGGGCGTAACAAGAGCGAACAGGGTTACTGCTGCGCCCTGAAACAGTCCTGCAGTATTCAGTACACTTTATTAATTGGAAGATCAGCTCATTAACTTATATTACATTTGGCTCATTAAACTATATGTCCATAATAAAAGGCCATAATTCTTAATTTAGGATAAACACACAACTTGCAAAGAAAATCCACTGGCTCCAAAATCATCTAAAGCACTTTTCTCCAAATATTTTGACGGCACCACTCCGATCCTTTTCCCTTCATTTTTGCAATTCTGATTCCCGAAGTGGCTCCGAAGTGGTGTTGCGGCTCCTCGTCCCCGGCGGATCCGGAGATTGGAGTCTCTGCACCGGGAGGCGACTGGCGGCGGAACTGCTGCTGCTCCTGGGACTTCTTCTTCTTACCTTACACATCACGGTGCTGCGGAGCAGTCCGTTGCCCCAGGGAAATGCAACTCTGAGCCTGGCTCAGGAAACAGCACTTACAGAGGTGAGTCAGAAACTCTATTAGTAGCATGGTGCTTTCCATAAGGAAAATTTGATCGAAAAGCTGATTAACTACGGGCTCTCATTTGGTCACAGATGGGTTTGATAAAATGCACATATGAGCAAATGGCACAAGTAATATAAAGCCTCCATTCCTGAGACTTTGTTGACATACACAGGGTCTAGGGTGTCCCCAGGGAATGGCAGTGAGCCAGCAGAGGGATGGAAGATGAGACGGGGTCAGAGATCAGTGCCTTACACCAGACACACCTCCCTATTGTTGGAGGTTAAATGTTAGCTGCAGGCACTTTTCTGTCATCATGGGCTCATCACTGTCAGCATTTGGTTGATGAGGCCGAGGGTCAGAGCTGAAGGTGCCCTCCCCTACCAACACACATCCCAAGAAAAGAGTGTGGTAACATGGATTTCTGTCCTGCTCTAATCAAATCTTAACCACAGCTTGTTTTATTATAGGCCACATAAAAGACCAGATATTAGGGTTCAGTGCTGAGGAGGATACGAGGAATACAATAGAAATACAAGATTTTAAGCACAAAGACTTCAGCAGAGCCCCAAATCCTGACTTGAGGGTTAAGACAGGTCTGGGATCCACAGGCGTATTTAGAAAGTGATGATTTATATTTAACATGCTACTGAAATGCTTTCTTCATATCCATGTGATAAATTGGTATTTATGCCCACTGGAATTATGTCTCTTCATAAATGCTCATTGGGTTTGGAGGGAAATGAAGTGAAAGAATTTTTACTTTAGCTGAGGACAATCATTTTTCTTACCTCGACCATCACTGTAGTATATGCAACAGCGAGCATTCAGATGGATATTACGGCATGCAAAGCTGAGAAAATATTAGAGAAATGTATCAAATATTTGTCACACTGCCAAATGGTGGCTCAGAGATGCAGGATGAAGACCAGGAGGGAGTTTCTTCTGAGGAGCCACAGTAAAAAACACTAAACACATTCTACTTTGCCTTGTGAGGAAAGAGCCCAGCACCGCCACTCATGCCCCATGTTGAGGCAAGTGCTGAATGTGTTTTGTTTTTTTGGCTCATGAATGCTTTGGCTATGTGCGGCTATGCTTCACCGGTCCGCCACTGAAGATGGTGATGTCATCTTTCAGACAGGCTTGTCACGGCCCAGGGAGTGTATTGTCAACTCAAGGTGTCATGTTTAAAATGCCATTCACAGAAACGCAAATGACAGGATGTAGCTCCACGCACCTGTAGCAGAGAGAGAAAATGCTGTGGTCTAGTGCACATTATCATCACTGACCCTGCAAGATTCATACACTGTGCCAGGGCAAAGATAGTATTCTTTAAAAAGAGCATTTATCTGTTAAGAACATTCAGCTACTTATATGGTTCTAAATAAGTCTGTTTATGAACTTCTTTTCTTTTAAAGAAGTGTTGTCTCTGAATGATTCTTTATAGAATGTATCTCCTCAGTCTCCTGTAAATAAACACCCAGTATAAGGGATGTGACAGGGGACGAATAGTTTTCTCTTCCACCTACATAAGTGCAGTATTGAAAAGCATCTGGCACAATGTGCACTGCCTTCATTTCCTGCCAGCCTCCCTGGGGAAGGACCCCTCAGTTGCTCCCAATTGAAAATGGAGTCATGCCCCTTTAACCAGCCCTTGCAAAGTGAAAAAGGGGACGGCGGGAAAAGAAGAGGATGGGGGTGGTGACATCCTGGGAGGCCTCAGAAGAACTGAGGAATTGTTTGTCACTTTTGATCTCCAAATTAAAGAATGTTTCTCGCTGAGGAAGATCTCAGATGAGCGACTGCTGCGGTCCGCCAGCAAAGCAGAACACTGCCGATTTTTGAACATTTGAACGTGTTACTCCTGTGCACTGTTACAGTCCTGGCCACATCAGAGAAAAATGAGAAGACAGCTTGTTTTTCTCATTATGCTGGGTTTAAATGCTCCAGAGTTATTGGGTAAAGACGCGGGCGTTTATGTTGTCAATATCAGGAACTGATGAACTTTACACAGCTGATATGCAACTGACATTCCTTTCTGATGAATAATTCACATGCTGTGCGTTTTCTAGTTTTTCAACTCTACTGACAACAGTTCTACTGATTAAGAGAGAAAAATGTCAGTAATTTGGACATATAAAGTTTCACTGTGTGTCCAGGTTAAATGGCACTTGATGTAAACTGTTTAACATATAGTATCGCTTCAACATGAAACTCACTGAAAAGACGTGCATTGTTTACAGAAAAAACATTTTGTGTTTATAAGCAGGCTTCACTTAACTCCTATAAAGAGAAACATCATCAGGAGACGAATCATCACCTGAGATTAATCAGAAAACTTTGAAGTTTGACTTTAAGTAAAACAGGATTACATGATCTGCTCATCATGTCTAATACAGCAGAATACCACAGAAGATTCAGCTGAGATTGGACTGGATCATGGAGGATGAATCTGCTTACAAACATTGTCACCATGTTTCATGGGCCAATAATTTGAGTATTTTGATGCGTATTCTGAAAGATTTGTGGTAGAAACTGCTTCTTTTTAATAGATCAACTCATAGATAAAGTAATAAGTCAATAATTTTTGTTATTGACCATCTTTGGATGAATTTCCTTAAATGACAGGTGTTGTTGAATGAAACAGCTCACAGTCTTATGATGGCAAAACAAGAGAAATTGTCTGTGAAATGTGTGGTAGTTAAGCATTTTTTGGCAGCAGATTTAGTGACTGTTTGTAGCATCATAAAACAGTAATGCATGGGCTATAGTGCAATATGTGTGGTCTGCAGTTAAATGGCAATGCAACCCAGAAAAATATAATCCACCCAGAGATCAACCACACCTGTTTGGCTTGCTCCCTCACCAGAGCTCAGTTATAGCTACTGACCGACTTCTGAAGGCTGGGAACTTGAAAGGCATGGTTATCACACGGTCATCTCAAAGCCCAAGTACTTGGTTCAAAAAGCTGATGCACAAACTATGCTATTGAAATGACCCTTTTCTCTTCTGAGCTCACAGCTATAGAGGTTTGATGGTGGAAAAAACATTTGTGGATTTGACTTGAATCTGTTTTTTAAGAAGCATTTTCCTAAATTGTTATGATTTTGAACATACATTCTTATAAAACACGATCTTATCAACAGTAAAGCCTATCGTTCTTATTTGGTGGCCGCAGAGAAAATGCACAACCACATGCTCCTATTCCTCAGTATTATTGGTAATTGAATAATCGTTGTAATTACAGCAGTAACTCACATTAAAAACATATAGGTTTTTGTTGTTGTTGTTTTTCTGCACCCCTTCTTGAACCGCCACCTTATTGTGGTGGAGGGGTTTGAGTACCTGAGTGATCCTAGGAGCTATGTTGTCGGGGGCTATATGTCCCTGGTAGGGTCTCCCAAGGCAAACAGGTCCTGGGTGACAGGTCAGACTAAGAGCAGTTCAAAAGCCCCTTATGATCAGACAAAGATCAAGTCCCGTGACGTCGCCCGGCATGGCGCAGCCGGGGCCCCACCCTGGAGCCAGGCCTGGGGATGGGGCTCGAATGCAAGCGCCTGGTGGCCGGGCCTCCCCCCACGGGGCCCGGCCGGGCTTAGCCCAAACGAGTGACGTGGGGACGTCCTCCTGTGG